TTTATTTATTTAATAATGAATTTATATTTATTTATTTAATAATGAATTTATATTTATTTATTTAATAATGAATTTATATTTATTTATTTATTCAATAATGAATTTATATTTATTTATTTATTTAATAATGAATTTATATTTATTTATTTATTTAATAATGAATTTATATTTATTTATTTATTCAATAATGAATTTATATTTATTTATTTAATAATGAATTTATATTTATTTATTTAATAATGAATTTATATTTATTTATTTATTCAATAATGAATTTATATTTATTTATTTATTTAATAATGAATTTATATTTATTTATTTATTTAATAATGAATTTATATTTATTTATTTATTCAATAATGAATTTATATTTATTTATTTAATAATGAATTTATATTTATTTATTTATTCAATAATGAATTTATATTTATTTATTTATTTAATAATGAATTTATATTTATTTATTCAATAATGAATTATTTAATCAATCAATTGAATGAAATGTGTTTTCTTTATTCAATGATATATTTATCTATTCAATATGATATTACTTTAAGCTGTTGGTGAGCCACCATTCTGTATGGCTGTAACTGGTCTGTTAGCTGTTAAACATGCTATAGAGGCTGCTCGTAAAGAGATTAATAAAGACATGTACTTTACTTTGAGTATGTATAAATTTTCTAAACCTAATTTTCACCTGTCATTGATGCAGGTCAGAGAGGAGAGGGGGGTGCTGACATGGAAGAAGGTTTCTTGTCATGTGTTACAGGCGATTTACATAGAAGTTTATTTGACAATTATATTAGCATAAAAGATGATATTATCCCATGTCCCACCTTATTCTGAGATATTGTTAGAGTCGGCTGACATTGAGTTTTGTTTTTGAAGGACTGTAATATTGTTGTCTGACTATTATACACTGTATAATTGAAAAAAGTGCGAAACTCTACTAACACTCAATATTAATTTGAAGATGCTGTTAGTCCTCATTAAAGGACTGCTATATTTCTTTCTGACTATTGCATACTGTATAATTGCGAGTACAATGCGCACCTTTTTGAACATTGTGTATTTATATTCTAGATGCTCCAGCTACAGTGAATGTTATTCAAGGAAACTGTTTAACAGATGTTACAGATTTAACGTTTGGAAACTAGAAGCTAACATCTTTGTTTTTTTCCAATTTGAAAGGCTTTAAATAGTGTGTCATCTATTTGACACCCCTCATTCTTAAATGAACTCTCCCATGCACATGCATTCTTACACACAAATGTTTTGCTAAATCAACGAAATTTTTTGTTGCCAAATAATTTCAAGCCTTGTAAATGATGTGTTTATTAATATACATGTATAACGTCTAGTTAAGGGATGTTGATTTGACTGTATTTACCAGTCATGTCTGATTAAAATTACAATTTGCATATACAACCAACTTGATATTGAAATTATTTTCCACTCTCAGTTATAACTGGCATATTGCAATCCTATGATCAGGGCTATTAATATTTAGCAGTATTTGCCAGTCATGTCTGACTGTTGTTTTCATCTATCTGAAAAAACAACTGATATTGACTTTTTTCTCCATGCACTGTGATTACTAAGATATTGTGATACTGTTCTTAAATTGTCTCCACTTTGCTGAGTATTCTCAAGCTTTGAGATTTTCATGTATTTTTTATTTTTATTTAGGAGAAAGAACAAAATATTGTAAAATAAAATAAAAATGATGTACACATGATTCTGTTTAAATACAATTAATTGATATCTTTCTTTGTTCAGATGAATTTGCAAATTTTTCCATGTTTTTTCCAATAATGCCAAAAGGTGGTAATCTTTGTTTTTTGTAATAATTAGTCAATTAAAAAAAAAAAAATAATAATTCCCAATTATGTTTAATTTTGACTTTGCTTTTGATTAATATATAGACATTACAAAATATTTCAATATGTGTAGTGATAATCAGCAAATATACTCTCTTTAATACCTTATTTTCTGTTATAAACCGATATATTCTAAATTTGAATTTGTGATAAAGCCTATTTTGAAATTAGTGATGTCATCAGTCACTTCTTTTAGGTGGAATTGCAAGATCCACAGACGTCTGATTGAAAATTGGAATGGTGCAAATGGATGTTATCAGTGTCTCCGCTACACAGAAAAAATTTAGAAAGCCTCTTTACAATCAATTTAAATGTTTGTTAATTGATTTTGTTGATTATGAATTGTTAATGAAGCATTGTTTCATTTTACTTAATTTCCCACAATGCATTTTTAAGTTACATTATGGATTTTGGATGATTTCTATATTTTATTATTTGTGCAGAAAAGTAGGACGTAAAACTCCATTCATTTCATTTATATTATTATTTAATCAAAATATCTTAATAATTTGGGTATCTTTTTGATATAGAAAAGTGCATATATAATTATATCTTTAATATATGAAAATTTGCCAAAAATTTCTAATAAATATGATTATCATTTAGAGCGTTTTATTCAATATTTGCATATTATGCAGTCATAGGGTCACAAATTAAATGGCCTATTAGCCATGTGGTCAAATTACTTATTTACCATGAAACCAAGTAACTAAGAGACAAATTTAATGTGACATAATAACCATGAGGCCAAATTACTGTGACCTATCTACCATGATGCCAAATTACTGAGACCTATTTACCATGATGCCAAATTACTGAGACTTATTTACCATGAGACGAAATTACTGTGACCTAATTACCATGAGGCCAAATTACTGTGACCTATTTACCATAAGGCCAAATTACTGAGGCCTGTTTATCATGAGGCTAAATTACAGTGACCTATTTACCATGAGGCCAAATTACTAAGACCTATCTACCATGAGGCTAAATTACTGTGACCTATTTACAATGAAGCCAAATTACTAAGACCTATCTACCATGAGGCTAAATTACTGTGTCCTATTTACCATGAGGCCAAATTACTGAGACCTATCAACCATGAGGCCAAATTACTGTGACCTATTTACCATTAAATCAATTACTGTGACCTATTTACCATGAGACCAAATTACTGTGACCTATTTATCATGACACCAAACTACTGTGACCTATTTACCATGAGGCCAAATTACTGTGACCTATTTATCATAAAACCAAACTACTGTGACCTACTTACCATGAGTCTAAATTTCTGTGACCTATCTACCATGAGGCTAAATTACTATGACGTATTTACCATGAGGCCAAATTACTGAAACCTATCTACCACGAGGCTAAATTAATGTGACCTATTTACCATGAGGCCAAATAACTGTGACCTATTTACCATGAGGCCAAATTACTGTGACCTATTTACCATTAAATCAATTACTGAGACCCATTTGCCATGAGACCAAATTACTGTGACCTATTTACCATGAGACCAACTTGCTGTGACCTTTTAACTATGTGACCAAATTACTGAGACCTATTTACCATGAGGCGAAATGACTGTGACCCAATTACCATGAGGCCAAATTACTGTGACCTATTTACCATTAAATCAATTACTGTGACCTATTTGACATAAGGCTAAATTACTGTGACCTATCTACCATGAGTCTAAATTACTGTGACCTATCTACCATGAGGCGAAATTACTGTGACCTATCTACCATGAGTCCAAATTACTGAGACCTATTTACCATAAGACGAAATTACTGTGACCTAATTACCATGAGGCCAAATTACTGTGACCTATTTACCATAAGGCCAAATTACTGAGACCTATTTACCATGAGGCTAAATTACTATGACCTATTTACCATGAGGCCAAATTACTAAGACCTATCTACCATGAGGCTAAATTACTGTGCCCTATTTACCAGGAGGCTAAATTACTGAGACCTATCTACCATGAGGCCAAATTACTGTGACCTATTTACCATTAAATCAATTACTGTGACTTATTTACCATGAGACCAAATTACTGTGACCTATTTACCTTTAGATCAAATAACTGTGACCTATTTACCATGAGGTCAAATTACTGTGACCTATTTAACATGAAACCAAACTACTGTGACCTACTTACCATGAGTCTAAATTTCTGTGACCTATCTACCATGAGGCTAAATTACTATGACGTATTTACCATGAGGTTAAATTACTGAAACCTATTTACCATGAGGCTAAATTACTGTGACCTATTTACCATGAGGCCAAATAACTGTGACCTATTTTCCATGAGACCAAATAACTGTGACCTATTTACCATTACCAAATAATTATGGCATACTTTCCATGCGCTCAAATTACTTTGATACCAAATTATTGTGACCTTTTTGACATGAGGCCAAATTACTGTAAGTTATTTACCATGAGGCCAAATTACTGTAAGTTATTTACCATGAGGCCAAATTACTGTAAGTTATTTACCAGCTATGTACCAGCGATACTAAATTAATTAAGCACACGCATAACGTAGAAAAATAATATTTATTATCAACAAACCAAAAACAAAAGTACAAAAATAAAATTGGACGGAAATGGAAGATCACAATTCATTAGAGAAGAATAGGGATTGAATGATAGATAGTAGGGCTAGCATTTGAAATACTAGTAGCTGTCTGTGCTAAATATTACGAAGATTGAGCCTATGTGTTTGCATATGTCAATATGATCTATTTTACTGGGGATGTTAAGTATAATGTACACACAATAAACTAAAAATAACATTTTTCGACTGAAATTGGGTTCCATCTATCAATAGCAGATTTCTGAATAAGAGCTGAAATTGGGTTCAATCCATAAATAGCTGTTTTTAGAGCTGAAATTTAGTTCAAGTCGAATCATTAGTGTCAGTTCTAAGTACCCTGGAATGATCAAATGTCTATTTTGCCCGTGTGAGAGGATTGGGCGAGTTCGATCTCGGAGGGGCACTGGAACCCTGTCCCTCTGGTTGCGGCATCGGAGGGTTGGTTGGCTTGCTGTCTGTTGGGGGTTGGTAAGGTGGTGGTGCTTGGTTTGGATTCCCTTGCTGTTGGGGTTGATTTGGGTAACCTGGTTGTAGGGGTTGATTTGGGTATCCTCTTTGATTTGGATTATGTGGGTAGCCGCCCTGGGGTGGATACATGGGATACTGTTGGGGCACGGCTCCTGGTGGATAAGCGGGGTTAGAGTAGGCGTATGGGGGTGGTCCCATTGGCCCACTTGTTGTTGATGTTTGGTATGACACTGTGGGTTGGCCTGAAAAAGAATGTAACGACGTACTCAGTTGTATGGCAGAAAAATAATTCAAATATGAGGTCGTAATGTTTACATCATTTTATAAAAACAAAACTACATCGTCTCTTCATCAGGTCCGAAAAGTAATATTACTACCATGTTTTCCTTAAGCAGGCAAACTGTGTATTAGGGGACAGAGCATTAAACCACAATCGGACATAGCTACGTAGGCTATATTTTAAAAAGTTTACGTAAACATTTTAAATAGTTTAATAATTTTGGGGTTTAAAAAACATAACGGTTAGATGTTTTAATAAAACAAACATTACGTGATGCTGTACGCAAAGTTTTGGCCCTGACCACAGAGTAGGGGCTGGGATACCTTGACTAGCCAACTTACTAGATATATAACTAACAGTGCCACGGTTCGCAGGAACCATAACTCTTCCAGTGCGACTATTAGATTTCGCACAGCAACAGATTAGCACTACTATTATTGTGATGAAAAATACCACTCCAAAAACACCGCCTACAATCGCACCGATATATCTGAAAACAAAACAACAATTGATATAGTTCTTTTCATCTATTGGATTATCGAACATTAATAAATGCAACACGAAAGCATATCCGATTTCCTGAGTAACAATGTATTTTTTGGTGAAAAAAAAGCAAATTTCGCCATCATTCTTTTATTTTTTAGTTGATTATTTCATTTTGTGTGATGATGTACAATTAATAACCCCAAGTGCTAACGCCCTGAAACACATAACTAAACCCGAAATCCAAAATAAAAGTTTTGCAAGAGATTTTTTCTATTTCAGCCACTATTATGGAACCAGATATTTCTGATAAAAAAAAACCAGAAAATACAGAAGGCTTCCGCCAACACAGAAGTAAAATTCATAGATGCTTTAATCATATGAAACTTCAAATAGAAACTGTCTAGACCAAAAAACAAACAAATAAAAAACTGCAAGCCCTTTACATTCACAAACCGATCTTGGCGTAATATATTTGGTAAATCAAGGGCAATAACTCAACGACTGTTGGTATAATGCAGAACTTATTTCACTTACTCTGCTAAACCACATATACATTCGCTGTTGATAAAATGTATAACTTACCCTGTTGACCCATAATAATAGCGATAGTAACTATAACCATATGAATAGTAATAATTATAATTGTTGTATGACTTATAACTATATCTATAAGATCTGTATATAAGGCCCTCGATTCCTGAAATATAAGTTTAATAGAGTTATATACCCCATTTCCGCATATCGGAAAATAATTGATAATGATTAAGGATTAAGTCCCATACTGAGCTGGTATAGTGGCGTATCTTTTAAATAACACTCAATCCCTTGCCCCCCTTCACCTTGTTTCAAATTTTTACTGATGATAAGGATGAAAGTCAGAAAGTGACGAGTGGGTTGTTACCCAAAAATAGACTTCGGACCATGACGGGTTACACTAGTAAACAGGATAAAAAGCCACTACGCCTCTGTTTACATGTTAATGGCTTCATATTCAGATTCAGGATATCACAATAATATGACTAATATTGACGTAAAAAATCAACTTTGTCTTACCTTCAAACAAAAGGGTCGCAAGAACGACTAAAATTTGGTCCAGCATTTTGAGAATGGTAAATTCAAACAGATTATTTTCTATAATTTAAGATGTAAATTCCGATTAAAAGTCTTCATCATTTGAAATCAAAACCTATGTGATTGGGCAATATCGATCAATGATCTCACCTATTTCTATTTTGTATGTGCTTTCGCTTGACGTTTAACTCCGTAGATACCTAATCGGCCTACTAGCAATATACCCATAGTTGCTCAACTAGATGAGTGGGAACTTTGGACTTAAGTGGGTTAAGGCTCCTCCCCGGGAATTTTTTTAACATATGCTCTCCTGCATTTTTTTCTCAGGGGTGGGGCCCGTGGAACTGGTTCAAGCAGTCCCTGTGGTAGTTAAGCCACTACAAATCTCTTTGCATTTTCCTCATTGTTCAAAGGTCCTATGATGTCGACCGTAAAACAATATGAGCTTGATATGTCCCTAATTCACGTATAAATTCAGAGATTGCCTTTTCAATTAGATTCATAGAAATGGAGCATCGTTGCGAAAACTCAACCCTGAACCAAACAAATGTAGTGACAAAAAGATCAATATCAAAGTACGAGTTTTAACTCGTGAACCCTCGTTAAATCAAAATGAGAAAACGATACCAGAATTTGATCCAATGACTACTTCGGCGATTTTTTTCTTGCATGACTTGCGAAAGGTCTCTTTATGACATGAACCATGACCTTCAATCAAAATATGTTGTTGCCTAAATAGTATTCCTTAGCGACAACGTAAACAGTCTATAAGGTGGTGTACCTTACTTACTTCATGGTGTAGAAAATAGGGCAGTAGTGAAAAATATATTACGTAAGCTCTCAAAAGATTAAATAGAAATTTAATAATTTAAATAATAATTTAAATGGCAATTTGTAGAGTCACACTAGATCGAAACTAGATCGGACTTTTTATGTGATAGTGAATAAACTGTCTAAGGTGTTAGAAATGGGGTCGGATCTATTATCAGCTGACAAATTTTCCGTCATATTATGTTGATTATAGGGTCTGAGTAAGCTCCCAAAATAGTTCTATAATTTACTTAAATAATTTAGGGCAAAATATGAGCAGTATAGCAATATTGGAATAGCATGGATTCAATTTTTAGAACTTTAACAATATTGGAATAGCATGGATTCAATTTTAGAACTATAGCAATGTTGGAGTAGCATGGATTCAATTTTAGAACTACAGCAATGTTAGAATAGCATGGATTCAATTGTTAGAACTATAGCAATGTTAGAACTATAGCAGAATAGCATTAGCGTGGATTCAATTTTTAGAAGTATGGCAATGTTAGAATAGCATGGATTCAATTGTTAGAAATATAGCAGAATAGCATTAGTAATGAATTCAATTTTAGAAACTAACAAAGATAAAACTAATTAACAGTATTTTAATTGATAACAAATTTATTTCCAACAATTCATATGAAGATTGCAGCTTTAATCATTGATGTATATGTACAATTTTGAGTAATTCACAGGCTACATATAATAATAGCTTTATCACAAAACATGGGTCTGGTAATTTCAATGTTTCTTTAGTCTTAGACACCAACAAAAAAATGAAGGGAGTTTTACGTCTTCAGTACATGTTTAGGAATGAAAAAGGGCAACAAGTACTGAATGAAAACTTTAAAGTTTGCCAAGACTGTGGCACAATTTTTATACATCTTAGATTTTAAACTCTTGGGGAATCACATCTCAACATCTGACACTTTTTCAGAATTCTGCACTCAAACACAAGATGTCACAAGATAATTCAAATCCATAATCCAAGGACAGACAAATTAGCACTAATATATCAAACATAGGACTCAAAACCATCATTTGATAGGTAACTTGATACATATATACAGAACAGAATACATATATATTAATCTGAATGTATATACAGAACAGAATACATATATATTAATCTGAGTAATATACAGAACAGAATACATATATATTAATCTGAATGTATATACAGAACAGAATACATATATATTAATCTGAATGTATATACAGAACAGAATACATATATATTAATCTGAATATATATACAGAACAGAATACATATATATTAATCTGAATGTATATACAGAACAGAATACATATATATTAATCTGAATGTATATACAGAACAGAATACATATATATTAATCTGAATATATATACAGAACAGAATACATATATATTAATCTGAATGTATATACAGAACAGAATACATATATATTAATCTGAGTGTATATACAGAACAGAATACATATATATTAATCTGAATGTATATACAGAACAGAATACATATATATTAATCTGAGTGTATATACAGAACAGAATACATATATACATTGACAATGACTATAATCCACACCCCAAGTTTGGCATTAACTTTTTGGGGCAAAAAATGCGCAATATACACGCAAATGTATAAGCTACATATATATATACACCATCGTAGAGTAGATATACACTAAAGTGAAATATCTGTCATTTTCTGTTTTATTCCTTGGTGGTTCTTGTTACCAAAATGGACACCTTAAAAAAAAAGAAATGATTTAGTAAATGAATATAACACATTATTTTGTGTTTTTTTTAGGTGGTTTGTTGGCTCCGCTTCAACATGTCTAAAACAATTACATTTCTACTGTGATTCACTTTAGTAGGAAAACCATACTTCTGTACAGGTCAGGAAAACAATCTGGAGAATGGTCGAAAAGTTGAGAGATTTTTTCAAAGCGCCTAAATTCGTGATTTTTAAGTTTCAAAGTGCTTTTTTTTTCTTGTGGTTTCTTTGTGAGAAGCCTTAAGCTATGTAAATTAATTAATTTCCTGGAAAACATTCTGATAAAAACAATGATGTAACTTGATTTTCCAACCCACATACTACTTGTTTTGTAAAAATGAGAACAACCCTCAACTTTACACACATCATATGAATACAGGCTACCCCCTGTCCCCAGAGGTCTCCTGATAGGTTTAAGCTCCTGTAGACACCAAGTTTATGAAAATAATAGAATACCTACCATCCTATATAACATTGACACAAGTTTTCATGTGTAGTAGCTTGTTTTATTAACAATTCAACTTGATTCTTCACATTCATAGGTTCTTCACCTCCAAAATCTCGACCTGTAATCAACATATGATTTCATTCCTACTTTTCCACAGCAGATGGGCAACGCTGTGTATTGTGCAATAAGGGAAATTTTTCCAGGATAGCAGTATTAGTATAAAGAGATCTTTAACGTGCTGAGCCTGTAGCAAACAGAGCCAATGTATATTACCCCATCAGAATGAGTGGATGTTTTGTCCATGTCAGCCCCTCTGACCTGCATCACAAACTAATGACAAGGGCTCATTCAACCTCTAGGTGAGAGATATCTCTGGTGCTTTGGCAATATGGTCCTCAACCTGCAACACTGACATGGGCCCATTCCACCTAAAAACAATGGATTCCCACAATATCAGTAAAACAAGGATCACCAACCAACAGCTACACACTTTTTTCATGTCAGCCCCTCAGTCCTGCATCACTGACAGGGGCCCATTCCATCTTAAAACAAAGGAGTCACATAAAAAAAGGACTACCCACCAGTGAGTTTATCTCGTACCCTATTGATAATATCTATAGCCTTTTTATTTAAAACTTCCAGTGGTACATTATCACCTCCTAAAACAGTTAAATTTTATAACAAATTAAAATAAATCAGAATTCAGAAACAAAAATTGCATTGTGAATCCATAGGGAAATGGTTTTGTTGCAAATTGTTTGTTTTCTTTGAACGAAAGTGAAAGTTATAGGCGATGTAGTCATTGTATCAACACTAAACTAAAATTTTTGTTCTATGTCCATGTTTCCCGTAATTGAAGAAATATTTCATTTGACTTTGACTTCATTATCCCAAAGGTCCTGAGATATCAAAATACTTGGTTTCAGTAAAATTCCAAGATCCACGCTTTAATGACTGAATGGGTTTAAAAGAATACTTTAGACAATGCCAGAATCATTTTGTAATTGGACGTAGAAATACGATTCTATTCACCTGCAGCCTTGATGGAGTCTGGAACTGATTTTTTACTGGTTGATTGAGACAAATCAACACTTTCTAGCAGGTCTCCTGAAATATTACAAATTATAAGTCAATCATTGTTGAAGTCCAACTTCAATAGGGACACAGACTGAAAATAAGTCAGTTTTCTGAAGATCACTACTTGTCAAACTTCAGTAGAGATGCAGGCTGAAATAGGTCAGTTATTTGAAGATCGCATAGCATGAAACTCAAAAACATGTGCCATGGTGTCAGAATTTTTAAGGGAAAAACCCATTCAACTAGCTACCAACTGAGCTCTTCAAATGCCACAAAGAGACAGTGGTCCAACCCAGGGTTCGATGACAATACATAATTAATAATAAAAGACCTACCTTGTTCTTGACTACCAGCGTAAGAATCTGAACGATTAGCTTTAGTTTTAGGTTTTGTGGTCGCTGAAATGTACAACATAATAATTAGCATTCAAAACACATGAAGTTTGTAATCATTAAATAAAGTTTACTGTCATTTGTCATGTTTTTCCAGTCCTTTTCAAGAGTATCTCAAACTATGTGACTTGTCCTGTAGATTACTGAAGTTGTATCAGCTAGTAAAGAACATGCTTAGAATAATGTATCCCTTTAAGCCTAGCAGCAATCCTTGGGGAATGACATTTGTGGTACTTTTAAGTCCTTTCCAGTAGACGTAACTTCACTCACCATCTACCAGTCTCCAGTTTAATAATGGATCATAGACAAAAGCTTCCAGTACAGCCATTAGACTGTCCTTGTGTTCACGTAAGACCTCCATTACTGATTGACAGGTCATCTGATAGTTGCCTTCTATACCAGTTACCTAGAATTTAACAGTAGCGATAACAATTTCTTTTCTATTTTCCTAATGAAAGTTTTCGTATCAGGTTTTCATATTGCTCTACTTTGAGTTTTGCTATCCCACAATTCCTCACTGAAATGGGCCCAACATTAAATGTTTTGATTGGTTAAGGAACTCAACTGTGGTAAATAACCTGTTAGATTCCATTGGAGCTGCTAATAAGGTATTTTGCGATTGTGATGCCATAAAATATTTAGTTTTAGAGGAATTGCAGGCACCACAGACGTCTGACTGAAAATTGGAATGATGTGAAACGATGCTCTCAGTGTCCCTGATACACATTGAAAATTCTTTACATTTCGTTTAAAAGCACTAACCTCCATAGCGTTAATCAACATCCTGGTCAATCGGAATGGAATTTTCTCAGGAAATTTCTCTCGAACCATAGCCACTTCAAAACAATCACCAAAATCAATATGAATAATCTTTCCACTCATTCTGTCTAACATTAAATTGGAGGGATGTCTGAAATCAAATAATACGTAGCCAATCAAATCCTTTGTTTCATTAATATGACTATGTAATGTTGAATTTTAACCAATCATGAGGGTTGTTATAATAATATCATCTTTAACCAATGAAACCCACTGTTACAATATTATGCATACTAAACAATCCAGTTTGATCAAGAAGAGTATATTTTATGCAGGGATGGTTTAGGTGATGCACTGTAGGCTTGGCTTCTACCCTAGAACATAGTTGACTCTTTTCAAAAATGTACATCAATATCTTACAGTAACAGGATACATTTGACATGTAAATTGTTGAAACATTGAGTATAAAAAACACATACCAAAACAGCATACCATAAAATTTTGTTCCATTATCGCGCACATGACCTACCTCAAAATGCACTTCTAAAAGTTGCTTAAGGATTATCAATATCTTTGTTTGAATGTACCTACCTATCTCCTAGACCAAGAACATACCCCACCATAGACATAGTAGCTAGTGAACGTGTATAGTTAGTCCTTCTATCAAACCAAACTTCAGAACTAGGACTCTTATTCCACAGAATCTTAGCTAAATCATCTCCTTGTGTATGCTCTAGAGCATGTTCAAACACTTCCACCTTCTGCATCAATGTAAGATGATCATAATCTGGGGCCATCTGAAGATAAAAATAGAAACAATGCAAGATGTCTGACAAATCTTGGTCAGCTGTTACATTTAAGTTTCCTGATAGATTGAATTGAGAATTCTGATAAAAGAAAATTGCCATTATATCATTGTGTATTGTGGTCTTGAAATAACAGAGTCATCTCCCTTGAGAGCTCAGTCGAGTTGGCCTGAATAAAGCTTGTGATCATAGGCCAAGTGTGCAGTTAAGTTCCCTAGACAGTTTGAAATTTGAAAGAAAAGGCTAATACTGCTGTCCTGTCAAAATTTCTGTCATTGCACACTGCATGGGGTTGGCTGTCTCCAACCCAATCAGATCCATTTAAAAATCCTATAAGAATCATATCATGTGCTTGAATATACCCAAAATAAGCCTCATTGATTCAATGTAAAATTCTACTTACCCTTAACATAAGCCTATGTTCTATATTTAACAGAATTTTTTTCTTCTCTCTGTAATCTCGTATCAGGGAATGTAAGGTATCACAATGTGGTACCCAGCCGATCAAACCTGAATTTGTTGATAATGGTATGGCAGAAAATCTTGTAATCCTGAAATAAATGTAATTTTATTAGCATTATAAACAATAATATCATATATAGGTAAAAACGGAATGAGAAAATATAAATAATAATAAATACTGTATAATTGCAAGTATAGCACGCAGGTTTTCAACCTTAATAGGGTTTGCCAAATAACAGTAAAGTAAGTACATGAAAATCTAACTTCTGCATATCTGCGATTAAAGCAAAATGTTCCTGAACTATTGGCATATATGATATATATCTTGTAATTATACACCTGGTAGAACATCTATATTTGTTTTGGTATTTTTTTAATGTTTGTCTATGATCTAGTATCAGAATATTTAGATGTCTTTAAAAAAGAATTGACATACGTGAGATTACGTCTGAAAGTATTTTGATTATTACGTAATAAAGAATTGACCAATCCAAACAGCTGCATAACTCTTTCATCCTGACGTAAATCTTCGTGGCCTTTTAACAGAAACTGGTATTCTTTACCATCACTTCCTGTAAATCAAACAATGCTTAGCTTAGATAAAAAATATCATACCTAACTTTACAAATAAGCTTTTCCAATCATATATATACAGAAGTCATATTGATAAACAGAATGCATGTATGGCAGGGTTCAATTAAAAGTTGAGGGGTATAAAAAGGATGAAAACCTAACTTACAAATGAGCTCTTCCATTCATAAATACACAATTTCATATCTATTAAAAGTATGCATGTTTGGAAGAGTTCAATAGAAAGTGTCAAAAGTATAAACCTTCCAGTCACATATATACATTTTTATATCGATGCAAAGTATGGAAGTGTGGAAACTTCAATAAAAAGTTTTTCATGATCAAAATTAAATGGAGGTTTACACCCTAATGATTAGAATATCAAATACCTTACCATAAATACTAAGTTTTCTTGGTCGTTGTTTAGATGTTATAACTTGTAATGAACTCTTCACCCTTTTAATTTTAACCACAGGTTGATTGGGCTGGTATGTTCCTGGTACAGCTAGTTCTAGATCTTGACATTGAAGCAGTTTACGGGAAACATACTGTAGCTCTAGAGATGTCAACTGAAAGAAAGGTTCATTTTGATAAAATACTTAAAGATGGGTTTTCTTACTTTTTAGAGTCAAATTAAGCGAACTTTTTGAAAATTGGTGTTTCTAATGAATTAGCATGTATTCTTAATCTTTTCATTATATAATTTAGAGTTTTAACCAATCATAAATGTTCATGTATTAAAAGTCTGGATAAACAAAAAAGACTTTTTGACCTTTCTTGACCAGTCACTCATTGGAATTCTGCTGGTAATTCTCTTATAATTTAGCTAATTATGAATTAATTATGGACATGTGAGATAAACTGGTATTTTTCCAAGTCATTAGAACACTTCTACAACAGGTCCTCTGAGATTCTTGGCTCAAATCTTATTGCCGAGAGCTCATCTTGAGCTGTCAACACATTTTTGATATAAAAGGCATTAGCATTTCTGTTGACAAAATTCCAACATCTTGAATTTCTTTTATGAACAAAGTAACAAAACTCAAATCTAAAATTGGAAATTACTCTCACCTGAGGGAGCTGTTTGGAGATACGTCTAAATACATGATAATATAAATCCCAAGCTTGAGTTAAATCTTTCACATTACCAGAACGTTGATATTTCTTACACCAATCTTGTGCTTGTATCAAATCATGACCATATGCCTGTATAAATCAAAGAGATTATATGACGTCACTATCACAAACACTGCTATTAATACTTAATGGCTTTTGAGATAGCTATGCCATTAAAAAGCTTTTTTTATTGAATTCACAGACGTCTGACTACAAATTGGAATGGCGCAAATCAATGCTATCAGTTTCCCTGATACACAGACAAAATTTAAAAGAATCTTATGTATCCACATTTAAAAAAAGTCAACCTTTTTTTTAGAGTTTAACTTATTTCTTTTCATTATAACCAAAGGAGATAGGCAACTCAATATTGAAAAGGAAAAGGGCAATAACTCCCATGTCCCTTACTGAAACTAAGAGAAATTACAACCAACCTGGTTAAAAGAAGTTTCCTTCAGTGTATGACAACCTTTATCTAACATGGCGTGTAGTGGTTCCAGCGTAGCAAACATTCCTGATATATTTCTTTCTCCAAAATATAACCTGGAGGCATCTTCTAATCCTTCATGCCATAATTCATGCCAGAGAATAGCAACACGGATCAATTCCTCCGAAACCTGCAACAAATTATAACAAATCTCCATGACAATAGTTTTTAAGAAATGGTTGTCATTTGGCATATCGAGGGCATATTGTAGCCAAGTTGGTTAGAGAGTTGAAATCTTTCCATGACATCACTGACACATACTTGCTTATTTTGAGCAAATGGGTACCAAAAATCTTGAAAAGATTAATGCCATAAGGCTTGGCCAAGAAGGTTGTTTGTATCTTAAAATAATTGCCATTCATTAGATTTAGTCATCTTTCCTCATAAGTTTAGTCGAACCAAGTAAAGATCTGGAAATATCCAAACCAAGGGGTTTGAGTAAAGACGAGCCGGTAGGTAGGATCTTCAAGTTGAACCTGAGTTGTTATCATTGTAAAAGATGGATGATTCTTTCTTTATAAAAATTGCTATTCATAAACAAAACCTACCAAATTAGCCTGTTGTACCAAGGTGCTGTTTCTTTCACTCATTGAGCGTAGTATTTTATCAGCAGCTGACTGTCGAGCTGGTACATTAGATTTAGCTGCTACAGTTAGAGGGTAGATTAATGCCTGCAATGTAAGAAATATATCAGATAACCTTACAATATAATACTTGGGCCCAATGTTAATGTTATTTGTGATGAAGAAGTTACAAAATATCCTATGTTTCTTGAAGTACAGGACTAAGACAAGAGATTGCGTAAATCAAGGGCTCATTTCTGAAAATTTAACTTATGTTGGAGCATACAAATATATACTGTATAATTGTGAATATAATGTGCACCATTTTTTAATCTCCAGTAAATCTCAAAAAAAGCTCTGTCTCCATAAATAAAACCACTGGTGAAAATTGTCACCCTTGGATTAAATACCACTAAGCTTACCTGTGGATGAGCTTTACCAATGTCTATCAGTAACTGGTGAATTAAACGTCCCACTAAATTTCTAGGAGTATCTATCCTGGCTATTAGTTGAGGAATTACCTATAAAATACAGCAACCATCAGTCATACATGACACTTTTCAGAATCAAAATCTTACATTCAGTTCCCGTGCAATTGTGACTTAACATATTTCAAATTTACAAATGAGGATTTTCTAGCTTGTTTATGAGTATCAGGGCCACAAAAGCGGCTCATAGTATCTAACAGTCTTTGTAATAGCTATGTCCAACACATCAAAAGTTTAGGAAATCTCCTTACAATCTCTTTAAGTGAAATTTTTGAAAGAGGACTGTGTAGGTTCAACTTGTATTAAAAATCACAGTACCTGAAGCCAATTGTCTATTTCTATAGTTTTAATTCCTTCTACTAGGGCATCATACACCTCAGTCCATTGACCAAAATCAAACCATAATGTAAGTAACCTACAAATAAAGAAACAATTATAACTTAGGTTAACCAGGATCCTGTCTACTAGTAAGTCCTTGGTCGATCTTTCCTGGATTAACCCAACCCATTTACAGCTGGGTCGACTAGACTAATCAGGAAAGATGACTTTCACTATCTGACTGAGATTAGAACCCATAACAACTATACAGTGTCAATTACAATTACATATATGCTTTAAATCAGATCAGCAAGTGCAAAAATGTCTTGGCATGATTACAGGAAAAATCATTTACCGTAATGTATCTTGTAAACTATTGTGACTATATAGAGCATTATTTACCATAATGTATCTTGTAAACTATTTTAACTAGATAGAGCAATATTTACCGTAATGTATCTTGTAAACTATTCTGACTAGATAAAGCAATATTTACCGCAATGTATCTTGTAAACTATTCTGACTAGATGGAGCATTATTTACCGTAATGTATCCTGTAAACTATTCTGACTAGATAAAGCAATAGACTTGAAGAAGGCTGTCACTGCTGGTACACAATATTTATGGATCTTGGCAGTATTCTGTAATAAAGAAATCGAAAACCTCACGAGGACCTACTCTTTCAAGTTAAAACCCAGTTTCCCCAATGTTCTCCTCTTAACTTCATCTCAATCAACCAGACCTATTGTTCTATATCCATCTGAAAGACTTGATAATCCAGATCAAAGTAAACTAATTTTAGAAGATTTTTTAAGTTTGAATTGTTAAAGAAGTTTCTACAGCAGCTATATTTTCTTAAATGAAAAAAGAGGTACAAAATTTTAACAACAATATCTGTAACTTACTGATTCTGGTTTTGGTGAAATGACTAATTCCATCAGTGGTCTGGAAATGGCACCAGGATCAGATGACATTGGTGTAGTACCAGATTTACCCAGACTCTGTTCTTTTTGTTTATAATACAACACACATTCATAATTCATTAGTGCCCACGCATGCCATGCCTAAAAGATCAAATGAGGTTATTCAAAATACAATTTTTGGTTGATCTCTGCCAGGCTGAGACTCTCAATTCTAGGATATCAGGTGTTATAAAAGAGTTGGCAAGCTCTTCCCAGGTAGCAACATTATTTACAATATTGCATTGGAGCTCAAACCACACAGAGCAAATCAACCAAGCTAATGATTGCAAATGAGTCAAATTATAAGTCAAATATTGTTGCAAATGAAATGAGTCAATATCTTAATTTCGAAAGAGTCAATTATTCTTGCAAATGAGTCAAATATTGTTGCAAATGAGTCAAAAATCATAAATGTAACCTACCTTGTACCAGTTTTTATCATTTTGTGTTGCTAGATGGTAATGTTCTAAAATTTGAGGTATAGATTCTTCTTTAATTCCCAGCAGATCTTTAGCCCAGTCTCCTAGATGACGATGACATCTAAAAAAATATAGTTCAACACTATAAAGATATCATGGTCTAATATAGTTATATTGTGGTCTTGAAATATCATGTCTGTATGAAGAGTTATCTCCCTTGAGAGATACATGGCTAGCCTTAATAAAGATGGAGGTTTTTATTTCATTTCACGTGTTTTATCTCTAAATCCAACCATCCTTTGAAACTCCACCCCAAACAGAACATTAAATTTCTTGCAGTCGAACCCACCATTTTGTAAGAGAAAATGAAGAAAAACACTTACTTGGCTTGTAGTTTTATTTTGTCATTAAGAGGAAGATTTAGAGTTTTAGATTGGAGAGATTTACTGGTGAATGCTTGTAGCTTCTCATACGCATCTTTCTATGAAAGAAAATTATAAAATTGCAGTAATATAGCTGTTCATTGGCTCAACGGGAGAGTCACTTGCTTGCAATCCTGCAGGTCCAGTGTTAAATCTCAACATAGGTTCAGATAATAACTTATGACTTTCATTCAAAGTTTTCCCCTTGACCCAGAAACTTTTTCCAGGAGTGTGGCAAAGAAGTGGAGCACAGAAGGATGGAAAAGTGCGCTAGAATCTAAGGACCTGTTCCACAAAAAATCTTTCTGTCAATTTTGTCAAAGCAAAAATCTACACTTACAACAAATTCCTTACTTTAAGATTTTTTGTGGAATGGCTCCTAAGAGAATTACTTCAAAAGGGAAAACTTTTACAGTTTGTATTTTGGATTCAAAATAAATCTTTTTGACACCAGCCCTAGAACTTTTTTAACCCTTGTAAATGAATTTAAGGGACACTCACTCTTTGGTTATTTTTCCACATGTGTTTCAGGTAAGCGAATGTAACATGAGGATATGTTGTGGGTATTGGTCTGGAGTCTGATGATGGATCCATTCCTAACAAGATAACTAGTGTCTTATGAGACAATGCCTGCAAAAATTAACAGATAATTCCAATACAGAGGGCATCATCACTTCTAATTCATTGAATTTTGGGCAATTTTTAGATCTACATTATCTAAGAAGGTTTTCTAAGTTTTTATGTGTATCAGGAACACTGATAGCATCAATTTGCACCATACCAATTTTCAATCAGACGTCTGTGGTTCATAAAAGCTTAGTTTCCAATCTCTTTGAAGATTATGAGAGATCTATAAATATATACAGGGCTGAATCTGGTAAAGGACTGTCGTTGATATTGACACATTCGGATTTTTAGCGGCAAATCTTTGAGGTGAGGAATTCAATTCACAAGTTTTGCTGAATATGCAGTGGTTTTTCAAGGAGAAGTTAAGAAAAGTGGACAGAACAAAAGTTTTCTCACCATACGACTGTTTTTACGACAGAGACTGGCATATTTCAACCAAGTCATTCTATCTTCTGATGGTGAAATAACCAGGGATCTCACTTGTAATATTTTCTGCCAGTCTTCTACATTCTGTTGACAACCCTGGAATTATAACGAAATATAATGTAGTTTTACATCCTTTTCATCTTCGTAAGCTTGTGAAGATGGGTAATGATGTAGAGCATGCAATGAGGTAAGTCATTGTCAGGCCAATTCCATAAGTGATAGATTTTTATGCCATATTTTTGCATCTGAATGGAGAAAAGAACTTGGCAAACCAATGCAGTTTAAAATGAGAGCAATAACATATAAGGTTTACAATAGGAATGGGAGATTTCTATGTCTTAACCTTCTTCACTTGAGGAATGCAGTGGGCAATGAGGGACATCGTATCAGCACAGCAGCACTGCCTAATTATTTTTGATTTCCAACTGTGGAGAGATCTTTAATGTGCATAGTCTGTATCACAAAGTCTGGGTCCAAATGGCAGCCTAATGAATGAATGGATGGATTCATGAATGAATGAATGAATGGATGAATGAATGAATGAATGAATGAATGAATGAATGAATGAATGAATGAATGAATGAATGAATGAATGAATGAATGAATGAATGAATGAATGAATGAATGAATGAATGAATGAATGAATGAATGACCTTGAGTCTATTCCACCAATTTAATCTAATAGCTTCTCGTCTCTCTGGTACTAGTTTATATTGTATGATCTCTTCTAATTCAGCTAACATCTGTACATTCACCATTGCCTAGACAAATAATAAAACACTCTAACTAAAATTCCCATAAAATGTTTCCTTATTTGTTTCTACTGCAGGCTACTACACTTGACAACTAAGATCTGAAGAAATTTTTATGCAGCATGAGTTCCATGAGTTCCATGTGTTCCATGTGTTCATGCGATACATTTCATTTTTGTTTGTTCATTTTGGTGCAAAGGATTTAATTCTGACCCAAGTAAAATAAAGTGTTCATCATTATTGCTGGAATATGGGGATATTTCAATATTCATTCTTCATCCCACATGTACATATAACAGTGATTTTGATTGGCTTGAATGAATTCTTACCCCATAAGCTCGGTTGTAGCTCTCACCAATCATAGCTGTTAATTCAGTGTCCAATATATCTCTAGCTTTATCAATACACTAAATTAATACAAAATAAGTAAATGAAATGGAGTTTCATATCCAATTTTTCTGCTCCAGTTTGGGCTTATAAAGACAGGCAACACCATGCAGTGTGCAATGAGAGAAATTTTGTCCGGATAGCCACAATAACTTTCTCTTTTTCAATTTCCAGCTGTCGGTGGATCTTTAACATGCACAGCCTGTAGCACACAGGGCCTAGGTTTATTTCACCCAACCATACCCAAGATGCTTTTTCCATATCAGCTCCTCTGACTTGCACCCTTAGCAGAAGGAGCAGCAAGATTGTTGCCAGGATTGATCCCTGGGCTTACATGTTGGACAGCAAATGTCCAACTAAGTGAGTCATTGCCGCACCCAACAGCAGCATGAGATGAGTTCCAGCAAACCAGGAAATCCAATTGAAATATAACTTTGATAAGGAAGTAAGAGTCCAAGTCTTTGAGCTACCCCTACCCCCTAAGTGACAGCATGAGATGAGCTCTAGTCTAATATTCTATAAAACTAACCTGTTGTGCCTGTTTAAAATCATCAGAATGAAGAGCGAATACAGCCCTGTAAAAAGCTCCATCATAACTAGTTCTTGGTATTAAACACATATACTGTTCCATACTATTCCAATTACCTAAACAACAGTCAATATAAATATCAAATATATACAGTATAATTGTGAATATAACGCGCACCCCTTCTTACCTAGA